TCAAGAAGACAAAGATTCCATGGGGTATAGAAAAAAAATCCTTAAAAAGCATTAGTAAGTTAAACTATCTGCACGCAGATCAAAATTTAAAAGGGATATTATAAAATTAATTTACTAAAAATATTAATTTGCTGAAAAATCTATTTTCCTTCTTAGGAAATAAGGCAGCAATATTATGACCCTATCTTGCCATGATAATAATTGTGCCATAAAATAAATACAAATAATATAAATATTATTGCTTTTGGAAGTCCAAAAGTAATAATTCCCCAAAATAAGATGGACTAACCTCCCACAGCATGTAAAATGACTTCTGGAGCACAAGTATCCCACTTCTTACATCCAGGACTTGCAAACACATAAGCAGAGGCTTTGCCTTCAATTAGCTGAATAATCTGTAAAGTAATCATGAAATGAATGCCATATAAACAGAAAACTTATTTTATCAAGCATTTTCATCAATACCTCTGAATAAGCCTAGCAGGTTTAAATTATACAAGGGAAAAATACCTAGAATATATGTATAATATGTGTGATCTGAAAAGTGATCAAAGAACCTATATGGAGAAGATATAATCAATCTCCATTTTCCATATTAAATAAAAGAAAGTTTTACTTTATGTATACTGTTTTTATTTCTTATTGGCTAAAAACACACACACACACACACACACATATAATGAAAAAATAAAAGTATGCTTTTAAAACTTCTGAAAAACTGACCAATACTATATAAAGGATAGAGAACTACTGATTAATAATTTAGAAATTAAAGCCTTAACAGTTGTGAATACTGACTAGTCTAAAAAGTACTTCCAAAAGTATTCAGATTCCGTTGTTCCTAATAAAAAAAATATAGTATTTTAAATAGTTGTCTTAATAATTTCTATACTATGCAGGTAAAAGGGAGCTCTGGTAGTGTATTGGCAAGAAATTGTGCTGCAAATCACAAAGCATGCAGTTTGAGGCCCCCAGCTCGTCCATGAGAGAAGGATGGACAATCTCTTTCCGTGTCATTAACTGTCTCTGAAAACCTGCCTCTGAGGGTCTGCTACGGGTTGGTTCCGACTTGACGGTATACAACCATAACAACTTAGATAAAGGGAGCTCTAGTGGTAAGAAGCAGCGCTGCAATCCCAAAGGCATGTTGTTCAAATCCACTAGCTGCTTCACAGAAGGAAGATAGGTAATCTCCTGTATGATTTATTGTCTCCAAAAACTCAGTGGAGGGTCAGCTATGGGTCAGTTCCCACTCAACAGTACTTAAAAACTCAGGTAAAACTGAAGTCACAAAACAACTATGAGATATCATCTCACCCCAGTCAGAATAGCAAAATTTAACAGAACAGCAAGCAACAAGTGCCGGCGAGGTTGTGGAGAAACTGGAACCCTTATTCACTGTTGGTAGGAGTGTAAAATGGTGCAACCACTGTGGAAGGCGATATGGCGCTTTCTCAAAAAGTTGCAAACAGAAATACCATTTGACCCAGCAATTCCACTACTGGGAATATACCCCAAAGAGACCATAACTGACATCCAAGCAGATATATACACACCCATGTTTACCGCAGCTCTGTTCACAATAGCAAAAAGTTGGAAACAAACTAAGTGCCCATCAACAAACGAATGCATAGAGAAGCCGTGGCATATTCACACAATGGAATACTATGCTGCATTGAAAAACAAGGAACTCATGCAATATTATTCAAAATGGGTGACCTTGGAGGACATTATGCTGAGTGAAGTATCTCAGTCACAAAAGGATAAATACTGCATAGTGTCACTGTTGTAAAGGAGGACTGACCTCGGGGTTGGGAGGAGACAGAGAAGGATGGGTTCAATAATGTATACTGCACTGAAACAGATGAGGGGGAAAACTGTTTAAGAGGGAAAATTATTAGGTATTCTTGTCATGACAGGAGTCTAGAGCAAAGGCTGTATAGTGGAGTGGACCTGGGAGGGGGAGGAATTGTAAAACAATGAAAGAATTTTTCTTTTACTTTTCCAAGAGGGTAGTGTACTGGGAGGGGGGGAGGGTTGGGAGGAGAGAAAAGTGCAACAATGAATGAATGGAAATCCAAAGTCTCTGTAAATTTTCATTGAAATGAATAATAAATTAAACAACAATAAGAACAAAAACAAAACAAAACTGAAGTCACTTGAAAATGCTTGCATAACTCTATAAACAGTAGTTTGCTATTAAGCACTCATTAGTCGCTTGTATTTTTGTTAATTACGTTGCAGAACTATCACTGGAAACTCAGAGTCCAAATACTCACAAGAAGAAAAGAGACCGAGAGAAAAAGAAAAATCTCAGTGAACACCAAGGTAATAAATTCTTGCTTTCAGGGATACTGAAACACTTTCAAACATTTAAAGCAAGCTGTAATCTTCTCATTATGTTATGTGTCATCTTCTTGTTGTTATGTGCCATCAAGTTGCCTGCAACCTGTAGTGACCCCTATGTACAGTAGCTCTAAACACTGTCTTGTTCTGAGCCAGTCTCACTAATTCCAACACACCAACCCCCATTGCCCCAGTTACTGTATCAAACCATCTCATCCAGGGACTTCCTCTCCTGTGCTGTCTCTACACCCTTTCAAGCATAATGTCCTTCTACAAGGACTATTCTCTCCTGAACACGTGCCTAAAGTATGTGAGGCAGAGCTTCAAAATCCTAGCCTCCAAGGAGAAACTTGGTTTCACCCTCTCTGAGAAACACCTATGTTTTCTTGGTGGTCTGTGGTATGTTCGAGACTCTTCTCCAGCACCACAACTCAAAGGCATTGATTCTTCTTCTGTCATCCTTAGTCATTGTCCAGCTCTCTGAAGCATAACAAGCAATTGCAAAGACCATGGCCTAGATTATTAGGTGCACCTTGGTCTCTAGACTTTGTTGCTCTTCAGCACTCTGGAGAAGTCCCGGACAGCAGATTTTCCCAATGCAATTCGTCTTTTGATTTCCTGACTGCTGGTGTTTAGAGTGTTGATTATGGAGCCGAGCAAGCCATAATTGTTAACAACCTCAATCTCTTCTCCATCTATCATGCTAAGAACTATACAAACACATTTTCTTTTTAAAATTTTATTTTATGCTGCTTTGCTTACAAAGTTCATACACGTTGTTTTTCCACACCAAATCTTTCCCATTTTCTTTACCCACCCCTCCTTCTACCTATCATGTTGTGAAACCCTATGATTACC